CCACTGCTGCAAGGGCATCAGAGAAAGATGTGTGCCCCTCGTGAGGGCATTTCAAGGACCGACCGACGAAACGCCACCAGCGGTCCAGTAAGGGCATATCGGAAAGTTACGCCCCATGCTGATAGGGGCCTGCGGAAAATTTCAGAGGCCCGAGGGGCACCACTGGGTAAGTCGGCCTTTACAGGGGCACGGCGCAAATAAACGCAAACTTTGGGGGCATTTTGAAAATTTTCCCATATATATATATATGTATATATATCGTCAAATAGAACTGCCCGGTAAACCGTAGGTCGTCAAATAGAACTGCCCGGTAAACCGTAGGCAGAGAGGGAGAAGAGGACAACAAACGAGGGGCTGTATATATATATATATATATATTCAGCCTCCTGATGAGTCGGTGAAACTCCGACGAAACAGTTTGTCACAGCCCCTCGTTTGTTGTCCTCTTCTCCCTCTCTGCCTACGGTTTACCGGGCAGTTCTATTTGACGATATATATATATATATATATNAGTTTGTCACAGCCCCTCGTTTGTTGTCCTCTTCTCCCTCTCTGCCTACGGTTTACCGGGCAGTTCTATTTGACGATATATATATATATATATATCGTCAAATAGAACTGCCCGGTAAACCGTAGGCATATATATCGTCAAATAGATATATATATCGTCACAAACAGAGCTGCCCGGTAAACCGTAGGCAGAGAGAGAGAAGAGGACAAAATATAATATATATATACATAAACTAAGAGAGTGCACTTTGCGAAACAAACGGCAAAAATAAAAAATAGAAAAACTAGACAAACACCAAGGGCACAATGAAACCATTCATTTTTCTCATTCTTCTTTAAACTCCCCCTTCACCGTGCCTCTCACGTACAAGGCTCGCCACGCTGATGAAGTTGAGTGCGAGCTGCCCCCATCCCCGTGTACCATAACGGCCCAGAGGCAGAGTAAAGGGGAAGGGGATAAACACAGGGAGGAGAGATGGAGAGCAGACAAACAAAGAACGATAAAGGGAAAGTAAGGGAAAGTACGGATGTCGAGTGAAGATGAAAGCAAAACAGGATAAGAAAAAGCTCAAGAATGAGTCTGTCCTTGACGACAAAGAGGACATACATTGTAAGGAAGAGGTGGATGAACACATGGAAGACCTAGCTGAGCATTCTCAGTGCAACAATTGCCACGAAGGCCGGCATTGAGCATGCCCACCATACATCCCCGGCAAATGGCATATCGATTGCAGGCGAAAATGAAAGAAGAACGGTCACCACAAAAGAGCATGCATTCAGTACAGCGCCCATGGCCGCAAAATGGACATATAGTGTCCGGATGCGGAGGGTGCCTGCAGTCAGGAACGAAGGGACAGTCCTCTACACACATGGATGCAGAAACCATATCATTGAAATGATTATGACAGAGATGATGGCGACTACAACCGAGTGTAACAGTGTTTATGGTTGTGCAAAGGAGAAGGTCGCAGAGTGTTGGTACATTGTGTTGCTGCAGCACCGGGCCAGAGGAATGATCTTCGACATAAAAGAGATTGTAGACGGCTTGTTGTGGCAAGAAAACAGCATCATTTTGTAAGACATCAGTGACATCAGTCATGGCATAGACCATGGTGTCGTTGTCCCACAGCTCCCAGTAGTTAGAGGCATGTAACAATGGTCCGGACCGTGCACAATGCAAGCAGAGATGTGGGATGGAGGATTAAACCACTCACCTGCTCGAGCATTGCGTAGTTCAAGTTGACGGTCCCTTGTTGCTACGTGTAGGACAGCAATGGTAAAGCCTCCTTCGCTGGTATAATTACAATCCTCTGGCCGTAGTTGGGGAAGATCAGCATCAAGCTGAAGGGCGATTGCAAGGAAGTCCGATGGTGTATAGAACGGGGGGTGGAGAATGTGAAGATAAATATTAGTTGTCGTTAGACCACAGAGATTGTTGAGGTTCTCAGGCTGGTTTGTTGGATGCTGGCCAACAATTTGCAGATCACCCAAATGGTGTTGCAAGCCCAAATTGTGTTGGGTTGTTTGCTGGTCAGTCATTTGCAGATCACCCATGTGGTCTGCACGTGGAGGAGCACAAATTTGTGGCTCATCCGAGCAATGTCGGTCAGCCATTTGCAGATCCCCCATGTGGTCTACTCCTTGGGGTCAACTGAAATCCGGGCAGATCATGTTCCAATCGCTCAACGTTTAGGGCTGCATCCTGAGTAGGGACTATACTTGGAGTCGGGAGTGTACTCTGGGATGGGAGCACATCGTGTTGTACAGGTGGTTCGTGAATATCTAACGCTGCAGGGTATAAAACATGGTGCCGTGGATGCCCGCATGCAGCTGGACTGTCTGCAGGAGGCATAGGAGCGGATATTGTTGTTGGAAACAAAGGAACCGCAAGAACCTGTGGAGGAGGCGCATAGAGAATCGGGGCAGACAAAGAAACAGGTTGCTGACCCTCGGACAAGTGTCGATGCCGCGGATGTCGTCAGCGATTGGTGTTGCAAACAGAAGATGAACTTGTACCTAGCAACGAACGTGGAACAATGGGAACAACGAAAAATGGAGAGTCTCTTCGCAAACGAGGTCGTGGAGGGGATGGGGGTGGTGAGGAGGAACGTCGCTGTCTGCGGCCAAGCACAAAAAAAAATGAGAGGGGGGATGGATTGGGCAAGATTTCATAATAAAGGGCGCGAGTGTCGGAGAGACTATGACATTCTTTCCACTGGAGCTGCAGGAGAGGAAGTTGTAGCAGTAAAAACTCCATTAGGGGGAATTACAATTATGAAAAATGTTCTACTGAAAACTGCAGCAGTGGAAACCGCAACAGTAAAAACTGCAGCAGTGGAAACTGC